CCTGAATATGCGCCTCGTGCAAGGAAGTCAAAAACAGTGTATAATCGTCCAATTCCCAATCATAGAGTCCCCTCTCAAAAGCAATATTCCAGCTATAACTTCCATTATGTATGTCTATTACATCATTCATCGTAGCGGACGATTCCAAGGCAATGCGATGCAAAGAAGGAAACCGTGCCTTTAGCGGATGATCTCCACACCAACAATCATCACAAAATTTGATACTGTTGCCATTCCCCACCACATAAGTCAATTTATCTCGAAATTCATTCCATCCTCGTCAGATATACTTCCACAAACTCACCCCATAAGATCCACGGCCCTCGATTGAGCACCAACCCCCTTCCATCACGCCATACTTCACTCCTACGATTTCTCTCCAAAAACTTTCCCTCTCCACTCCAAATCGCCACAACCACTTGCCCAATAAAGTCTTGTTAAATAGAACAAGTCTCCTCAATCCAAGCCCCTCATTCTTACATGAGCAAACCACGCCCCAATTAACCAGGTGATATTCTCTCTTCCCCTAACCCTATCCAAAGAAACTTCCATTGAATCCTCTCTAATCTGCTTGCCATTATAACAGGAATGGGAAACAGTGACAAAAAATAAGTTGGGAGATTAGAGTGTGGATTTTATGAGGGTAAGATACCCTTCCTTCGAAACGTACATACGCTTCCACCCCGCTAACCTCTTCTCCACCCTTTCGACAATTCCAATTCAAATATATTTACATTTAAACTTTAACCCTAAAGGAAGCCCAATGTATGACATGGGCAACTGCGTAACCCTACGACCCAATATATCAGCCAACTGATCAATGTTTGCAACCTCTCCCATTGGAATAGCATCAAATTTCCCCAAATTAATATTCAATCCCAACACCGCTTCAAAGCATAGAAGTAGCCGACGCAAGTTTCTGGATTGATCATTATCTGCATCGCATAGAATCAGTGTATCGTCTGCAAATGCAAATGGGAGACCTGTAGGTGTCCAACCGTAAAACCCCTTATCAAACCTTCTCCTACAGCTTTCTCAAGCATTATATTGAATGCCTCCATAACAATCACAAACAGCAATGAAGACAAGGGATCCCCTTACCTCAAACCTCTGCTGCTTTGAACATAACCCTCCGAGGTGTCGTTAACGAAGACTGAAAACGAAACAGTAGAGATATAAAATTGAATCCACTTACACCAATTTTCCCCAAAACCGCATCTCCTGAGCATGTACACAAAGAACTCCCAGTTCACGTGATCATATACCTTCTGAATATCGAGCATGCATAACATCCCTTACATCCCCAAACATAATATGGAGTCAATATATTCATTCACTATAAGTACAGAATCCAAAATCTACCTTCCTTTTGCAAAAGCATTCTGACGCCTAGTCACCACTTTCCCCAACACATCCTTCAATCTATTCACCAGAATCTTCGCAATAATCTTGTATGTCCCCCTGACTAAGCTAATAGGGCGAAAATCCTTAATGTCAACTACTCCCGATTTTTGGGGATCAACACAATAAATGTAGCATTAGAACTTCTCAAAAACCTGTCGTATTCAAAAAAATAAGTAATAACATCTATAATGTCCGACCGCACCTCCTCCCAATACACCTTATAAAATGCGAACAAGAAGTCATCTGGTCCTGTGCCTTATCATCATTCATGCTGAAAACTACCTCTTTGATTTCGTCTTTCCCAAATGGTCTTTCTAACCAACTAGCATCCTCCTCCGTGATACTAGAAAAGTCCAATCCGTTCACCTCTGACCTCCAGTCAAACTGTTACCGATAGAGATTTGATAGAATCTCACCATTTGAATCCCAATATCCTACGGCTCCTCATAAGTAGCCCCATCGACCTCTAACAAAATGATAGAGTTGTTGCGCATGTTAGAATTAGCGACTCTACGAAAAACTTGGTGCACTTGTCCCCCTCTTTCAACCAAGTGACCCTAAATTTCTAGCGCCAAGCAATCTCCTCCATCTCCATCCATCTCTCCAACTCTCTCCTTAACACTCCACGACTCTCCCCCTCCTCCCCAACCAACCCTTGACTCTCCTCCCGCCTATCTAATTCTATTTTTAGAATGCATTGAGTTTTTAAGCCAGTTAACATTTTACACCACTTCCTCATTCCACCTTTTTAGATCCGTCTTCAGGGCTTTTAATTTTCGATCCAATACATAATTGGGAGACCCCTGAACTCATAAGATGCCCACCAATCAGGTACTCGCTCTCCAAAGCCATCTACTTTCAGCCACGTCTTCTCAAATCCAAAAGGTCTTCTTCTACCACACCTCACATTCCTCGATAACAAAATAGGAAAATGATCAGAATACATCCTTCCCAATCTCCTCCGAGTGACCTCTGGATATTAGGCCCCCCACTCCCCACTAATCAAAAAGCGATCTATTCGAGATAAAACAGGTTGATCCCGATTAGATGACCAAGTGAAGTCTCCTCCAATCAAAGGCATGTCTAGCAACATATTTTCCTTAATAAAATCTGAGAAATCCTCCATTGCCCATGTTTATCTCCCGCCACTAGACTTCTCAGTAGGAAATCGAACCACATTAAAATCTCCCCCAATGCATGTTGGAATATTCCACCAAGCCATCATCCCGACCAACTCATCCTACAATCCACCTCTACTCTCATCAACATTAGGCCCCATAAACATCCAATGGAATCCATCCCAAATATTTCTGAACGAAAGCGATAAGGAGAATAGCCCTTCACTGACCTTCTCCATATCAAGAACTCTAGTGTCCCACATAACTAACATACCTCCTGAAGCCCGCGATGACCCCATATATTGATACCCGACATGTTGTCCCCCCATAAACTGCTAACCGCCGCCCTCGAGATGAACTTAAATTTAGTTTCTTCTAAGCAAACAAGGTCAGCTCTCCATCCCCTTAACAGATTTTGAACACCTAACCTTTTCCCCCCTTCATTAAGCCCTCCACGTTCCAACTAATTATTTTTTGGATCATCTCAACACTCTTATCATCCCTCTCAAGCAAACCTTTCTTTGACTCGCCACCTTTAGCACCATAATTTACTGACCATTCAAGCCACTTAAGTTCACGATCACCCTTTCTTCTTGATTTACCGCCTTGTATGCTGATCCCCTTTCCCCTATTGGCCTCCATTTCCTCAAATAATTGTAGAAGTCTACTTTCACATCCATCGCATGACACACCATCTTGCTGAAATTCTGAATTTTTTGAAGGACCCAATTTGAAGATGGGGGCTCAACTTCAGTCGCATTTACTTTCGTTGTTTCCTCTGCAAGATGATACTTCAAAGGATCACATGGATATCCATCTACTTCCTCCACCTACTCGATATTAGTATCTATTCCTCCCAGCTTGGCACCATCTACCCACAACACTATCGCTTTCTCAGTCTCTAATTCCTTTTCTTTAGGGGGCTTTAAATGCCTTCTATTATGTGTTCCCCACCATAGTTCTCGAGCTTGTCACCTTATTCTCTTTTAGTATTGTAGACTGATCCATCTGCCAATACACGTCCCATCCCTTGCTCTTGCTCTTGCTCTTATTCTTGCTCAACTAATAATAGTCCATCGGTCAACGACGTCATGTTCATCATTCCCAGTGTCTCCGGCTCCAAATTCACCACATCCGGCTCCTCTTCGATAGGCTAAAGTCCCACATCCCGATCCGCTTCAGTCCTCGAGTTATTATCTTCCTTATCTTCAGGAGTCGAGCTTTCTTCATCCACACCCATCCCACACTTGTAACAAAGCATCTTGGGATCCGCTACAGACCCACTACCTACAAGCCTAAGTAATTCATTCATCTCCCATTTCAACGACTGGACACAAGCCCTTATTTTGGTGATATTCAATAAACCATCATCTGAACCTTCTGCATATGCTGCCTTACACTTAGGCTTCATACTGTTACCTTCATCTTCACTCACAGTAACCACATTCTCCTTTCTCATTAGCACCCTTCGATCAACATTCTGCGAGGCTTGTATGGTTGTTGTAACTTCGACATAGCTCATCCCTTGTCGACTTCGTTCGTTCACCGTACGACGTTTGGCCTTATCTCCAGCAACAAATGAATCAACTACTACCTAAAACACCCGTGAGATCGATGCCCATCCTTCTCCATACGCACCTTCCAGCACCATCACAACTCCCTTCTGACGTCTATCCCCATATTGTGCTATTGTCAAGTACCTACCACGGCTGTTCACACATTGTTGTGCTAAGAAGGCTCTCGTTGAACCTAGAGGCGGGATCTTCCAACCTACTAGTCCCTCTCAACTTGACCACCATATTCACCATCCAAAGTGAGCCGAACCTTCCCATACAGATTGTGTTCGATATCTTTAAGCCCGACTCAGTCATCCTAACAATACCTAGATTGTTAACAGAAATTGCAAACTCCTTCGCCTCTACTCGAAAACAATGATTGAAAACACCGTATGCATCCGCTAACTTCCTCCCCTGATTATGTGTAAACGGCGCATTTGACGGTAGAACAGGCTGCGTGAGCTATCTTCCTCATTTTTCGGCTCCGGAGCGTGACTCTCACAAATCGAAAAACGCGCCGCCTCGCAACATAGGCCCCCTAGCCGGAACTATCACCTCTTTCCTTTTTGCAGGGATCCCATTTTTTACTTTTGAATTAATTCAAGATTTTCATTGTGAGCACCTCCGGTCCTATAATATCATGGTGTAGCCTTTTTATTCACTCTATAACTTATTATAATTTAGAATCAGAGAAGCTATTACTAGAAGGAAAGAGAGTCAAGAACTTCTAACACATCGAACAATGTTACTACAGAATCTTCTATAATAATGAGACCAATCAAGCAAAGAGCTAGTGCTTGCATTGAAAGCTGTCTAAAAGCATCAAAAATGTGAGGACAAGACAACTTTATGAGAATGTCATAATGCATGAAAAGCACGCAGTTGATCTCCAACCCATGCAAAGTACTTCAGCATTGCAAGACAACTTTTTTCCAGAACCCAAACCTAGAGAGCAATGCCACATTCTTAAGGAGATCAACTACAAAACCAATTATAGAAGAAGTTCACAATTCATCTTTGAGTTCATGCAGATAATGAAAATGAATAACCTGGACTGCTCCTCTAAAACCAGTTGAAATTGCTCCTGAGCTCTCCGAGTAACCTTCTCAATCTTATGCTGCCCAAGTCATTAATTGATGAATGTTAGTTTCTACCAGGAAAGTAAAATACCTAAAGCAATCGGTCTATTAGAGTATAGTAACATCATTATTTGTTAGTTACAAAATTAGACCTGCAGAGCAGTTGCAGTTTCCAATGCAACAGTAGGGCTAATCGCATTGCTCCTCTTCACAAAGTCTAAAAAGCGATCATAGCTTTCCATGAAAACCTACAAATAGTTGACAAAGAAACGCATTTAACATGAATAACTAAGTTGAAGCAGGCAAGAAAAAAGAGAGAATGGTAAAGGGAGCAAGGGCAAGATAACACTTAAAGATCCCCGGACTGCAAAGTTACATTGCATTAAAAGATATAGTCTAGAAACTACTAACGAGGGAGATTACAAGGCATAGTGTGTGTGGGTAAATGTGTTGCATTCAATCATGTTACCATCTCCGTGTAACCAATAAATTCGAATGCAAACACGCAAAGGTAGAAAAAACTATTATTTTCATGCTGATCTCGCCTTTAAAGCTATTCAGGGTCAAGGTGTCCAATCTTAGAAATAATAAGTTTTGGGCCATTTTAGGGGTTGAACTTTATCTTTGGACAATTAAGGCTTCCAACTCCCAACTTTTGGGGTCAGCTAAGGTCAACTCTCGTGTAAGTAAGGTTAAACTGAGGAATAAATCTATCATGTTTTCCCTTGCGATTGAGCATACATGGAGATTAGCTTGTGTTATTGGCCAAAAACCGAAAAAGACATTTACACATTATAGCATACAATGAAACTGATTGGATTGGATCTATTTTTTATGGCTGATCGACATTAGGATAGTGTACATTTGTGGGAAGACACCTAGTAACATGGATGGGTAAAATGAAATTGGTAGTTGCTAGATCCAATGATGAAGCCAAATTTAGAGCCATAGCACATGGCATTTGTTAAGTTTTGTCAATCAAGAGTATTCTCAAGGACCTTAGAATTCCTAAAGAATCTATGCGGGTCTTTTGTGAGAACAAGGTTGCAATTAGTATCCCCTCCCCCCCCCCCCACCAAAATTAAA